GGCTGCACCTAGGGATTGGGCCTGCCCTCTGCCACCCGGGAGCAGGCCTAAGCCAGCAGGTTGTTATCTCCCGAGGGGTCCCAGACTGTGAGCGGGCACAGGCCGGGCTGAGGGACCCCACTCCCCCCCGAGTGCACAAATTTTTGTGCACCGGGCCTCTAGTCTTTAATAAAAGCTGTCACAAGTAAGAAACATAAAATGTGGAAGTAAACAACTCAACTTTTTAAATAAAGAAGGATGGCCATCTATTCCAAATATGTACCCTTTCCCCAAAAAATCATGGCATGGCAATGAATCTCTCTCATACATTTTGAAAGGTGAACACATACATGCCAGGAATAACACTTCATTTATTTTTATATGGATAAATGCCCCCATAGTAACACATTCAACTTGTGAATTCTTCTTTTAGTTCAATGTAGTATATTAACAAGTTTAATATTATATTGGCCAGTTTCACTTCTGCTGATGCCAAATGAAAAGCCTGCTACTGCTATGGAAAGCATACTGTGCAGTGATTTTCCAATTCAGACTGCCAAACGCATCAAATTCAATATCCCAACACGCTTACCTTTAAAATAATTTCTAAAAATCAAACTTGGTAAAATAAATAAGTAAATAAATAAAATTTAAAATCTCATTAACAGTTTGCCAAAGAGAAATCCAGAAAAAAGAAATAATAACCAGACACTTCTAATTAATCTTTTTTTCCATGTTTTATTATCATCTATTAACACTTTTTCCTCAAATTGTTAATGACTACCCTACAGTTATCACTGTTAAAAAAAACTAAGGGGTTGGTGTAAATGCAAATTGAATCACATACCAGGTAACACAAATAAGCCCCAAGTAGTCAGTGCTGCATCATTAAAGGGGCAGCCCCTTCCAGCCACGCTCTAGACACTTTCTGCCATAGGAAATATGAAATTAACGATACCAGATATTCCTGGCCTTTAAAAGAAGTTAGAAATCAGCATTTCTATGCAAAAATCTCCTGGTTTTTTAAATTTTGGATGTGTGTTATTGTTGTTTTCATTTGGCCCCAAAGTACATGCCTATATCTGAATTCAGCATCTGGTCTCTGGTTTGCAACCCCTGGCTTAAATAGAAGTTCCTGTCTTTATACTATCCTATATAATAAAACCCTAATGTGCAAATCGACTGAACGGTGGAACAACCAGTCGCTATGATACACACTGACCACCAGGAGGCAGGCACTCAACTCAGGAGCTGCCCCCTGGTGGTCAGTGCGCTCCCACAGGGGGAGTGCTGCTCAGCCAGAAGCCAGGCTCACGACTGGCAAGCGCAGTGGCAGTGGTGAGAGCTTCTCCTACCTCTGTGGCAGCACTAAGAAGCAGCAAGCAGGCAGGCAGTAAGGAGCGAGGGGTCCCAGACGGCAAGAGGGATCCCAAACTGGGAGACAGATGTCCACCGAGGGGTCACAGGCTGCGAGAAGGTGCAGACCGGGCTGAGAAACCCCCCACCCAGTGCATGAATTTCATGCACCAGGCCTCTAGTCTAAAATACCACCGCAGATCTCCTGTGTTTAGAGAAGCCCCGAAATGGATGTAATTAGCAGAAAGGAAGACTAGTGTACCATGTTCACAGTGACTCACCACTCCCTGCCAGTGCACCCTGGAGGGACTTTTAGGATAACGTCACTTTATTTGTGTAGAAGTCTCTCTACTACCGCCAGACTGGAAACTTCTTGTAGGCAAGGCCACACCTTATTCATCTCAGTTTTCTCAGCACTTGGCACATTAAAAGCACAAAATAAATAAATTTGAAAGAATGAACAAATGAATAAATAAGCACCAAGTGAATGTAATATCTGACGTCAATCCCTGTGGAAGGGAGTCTCTCTCCTGCGTCTAAGTGATAATAGAAGATCATGTGCTTGCCCTAGCTGGTGTGCTCAGTGATTAAAGAGTCAACCCGTGCACCAAAGGGTCTTGGGTTCAACTCTGGGTCAAGGGCATATACCTGGGTTGCAGGTCTGATCTGGTCCCAGTCAACCAATCAATGTATCTCTCTCCCATCTATGTTTCCTTTCTCTCTTCCTCTCTCTCTCTTCCTCCTCCCCTCCCTTCCACTCTAAAAATCAGTGAAAAAAATATATATATACCCGTGGATGAGGACCAACCAAAAAAGAAAAGACCATGTGCTCCTTTTAGACAGGTGAGTGTCTAATGTGGTTGTGATTGGGCTGTTGTCATTGTTGTTTTCACTGCACCTGAGGAAGCCACGGTCTTTTCTCCTGGATGCCTCCCTATAAAGTGGCAAGTGGTGGCTTGGAGGGGGTATAGGTGTGCCAGGGGAGTTGGGTGGTAAGAACAAAAAGGAAAGTCCATTATATGCTGTTTCTGTACAAATACTGCTGTTTTTTGTTGTTGTTTTTTAAAGATATATTTTATTGACTTTTCACAGAGAGGATGAGAGAGGGATAGAGAGTTAGGAGCATCGATGAGAGAGAAACATCGATCAGCTGCCTCCTGCACACCCTCTACTGGGGATGTGCCCACAACCAAGGCACATGCCCCCGACCGGAATCGAACCTGGGACCCTTCAGTCCGCAGGCTGACACTCTATCCACTGAGCCAAACTGGCTAGGGCGAATCCTGTTGTTTTTAGCCCAAGTTAAAGGAGGCCTGATTTAGAGTCCCTGTCACTTGTCAGCTAGCCAATGTTTTTACTCTTCCTTCTCTTATTTTCATACACATATTGCTCTTTACATTGTAGAGTCTAAACTATTTCTTCAACACAACCCTTAGAACAAAAATCTATCTATACTCTGTACCCATGTACATCACTTTATAGTCTTGACTATAAAAACTAGTTCCGTGTATCTTTTAGAGAGCAACTCAATGGGCACTTAGAGCTTAATTATATCCAAACAAGTATGAACCATAAATAAGTTTTCTTCCCTGTGTGGAGTTTGGCAGTGCCGAAGGTGTGGATTTCATTTAAGCGCTGCAGAAAGTTTACATTTTCTAACCCAATACTTGGGACCCAAGAGCTGACAACTAAGAATAGTGTCCCAGGGATGAGGTAAGAGAATATTTGGGAAATTCGTGATGCCAAAGTAAGCAGGGGAGTGTGCAAAGAAGAGAAGAAGCTTGAGGGCCTGGTTCTAGGCATATAATGTAGAAAAACACTTACCAGAACAGATGGTGGGGTTGCCAGAAGACTTGCACTTTGGGGGTTCCAAACCGGGTCTTCAGTGGGGGGACGAAAAACTCCTCTCACTAAAGAAAAACAATATTCAGGAACATTTTTAATTGAGACACTATTGTACTTGAGGTTTAGGGACAACTAAATACCACGTTTTTCCTTTTTACAGTTTAATTTCGGCAGAACAGATAAGGGAGACTTGCTTAGAAAATGCTTGCAACTTTATTCAGATGTTTTACTTACATTAGCACCATCTGTCTGAATTAAGAAACTGTAGCATAAAATAAATGTTCTTCCCATTATGACATTTAGGACACTCCTATATTATTTCTTTTTCTTTCTGAAGCAGTTTTTACTCTTTTTAAGATTCCTATGAAGCAGTTGTTGTTAAAATTGATTTTTTTTTCATTTTGATAAGAAAGTTGAACTGAAACTCCAACTCATTTGATTGATGCTAACAAAAGAGAAAATTATGCAAAACTATTTCCTTTCTGGCAGAAAGTACCTTTGAAAAATGGACTAGGAGATCAGAGAGTTTATCACTATACCAATATTAAAGAGAGTAGATTGTATAATTTAATTCAACAAAAATTTACTGAACCCTTACTAGTTACTACAGACTTTGATGCAGTGAAGGCTATAAATATTAATAAGGCTAAGTTTCTCCTGTGGAAGTATTTCATATGTCAGAGATAAATTCATGAGGGACACACACACACACACACACACACACAATATCCTATATAATAAAAGCCTAATATGTAAATTGTCCCCTCAGGGCAGTCCTTTCTACCAGGAGACCAGGAGTTCAACCACTCACTATGACATGCGCTGACCACCAAGGGGCGACGTGGAACATAGCCGGCGTGGTTATGCAGAACTGGCAGCGGGCGGCATGGAAGCGCTGCCTGCCCCAATAGGCCCTGATGAGAGCGGGACCATGGTGGGATGGTGGAGCAGGTGGAGCAAGACAAGAGAGATGTGAGCAGGGCCCAATTGCCCCACCAATCACCTTGTAGACAGCAACCAGCAGTGGCGGCAGGAGGCGGGGCTGCCACCCAGCTCCCAGGCACTGAGGAGCTGGGCAGGGGCCCTGGCCCCAAGCACCCCTCAGGCAGGATAGTGGAGCAGGTGAAGGGGCAGCGCCAGGCCAAGGCGTGGTGCCAGGTGGGGCTGCGGGGCTTCGAGGCTGGGAACATGAGCTGGGGCCTGATCTCCGCAGGTCACCCCAAGGGATCCCATCCATGCACGAATTCGTGCACTGGGTCTCTACTATATATATACACATACACACACACACACACACACACACAGACAAAGTATAAATTAATTTTCCCGAAATGGGAGAGGGAATCAAGAAACTAAAAAGAAGGGTTTGCAGGAAGGTGCGCTAGTGTATAAATCAAAAACAAAAGCAGAATCTCTTGTTGTTGTTATTTTTTAAATATATTTTATTGATTTTTTACAGAGAGGAAGGGAGAGAGATAGAGAGTTAGAAACATCGATGAGAGAGAAACATCGATCAGCTGCCTCCTGCACACTCCCCACTGGAGATGTGCCCGCAACCAAGGTACATGCCCTTGACCGGAATCGAACCTGGGACCTTTCAGTCCGCAGGCTGACACTCTATCCACTGAGCCAAACCGGCTTTGGCCAGAATCTCTTGTTATTCACCTGCTCTTGCTGGCCTGACATAGAGGAATTAATCAGAAGCCAAAAATCCTATTTGGTTTAAGTATTTTCCAAAACCCTTTTTCAGTTTGTATACAGTTATCTTGTCTTCTATGGACAATAAGCTCTAGAAAATCAAGATGAACATATCTTATGAGATTATGTCCAAGTTACCTAGAAAGCTATGCCATTCAGAACTCTGAAGTTGTCGTGACAATAGAAATAGATTTTAGGGACAAAAATCTGAGTAATTGAAATGTCCATCTATAGTGGCTGCACCAGTCTGCATCCCACCAGCAAGAAAACAGTATGGAGTTTCCTCAAAAAATTATAAACGGAACCCCCATTTGACCCAGTAATCCACACTTCTATGAATATATCCCAAGAAATCAGAAACACCAATCAGAAAGGACATATGCACCCCTATGTTCATAGCAGCACACTACACCATAGCTAAGATTTGGAAACAGCCTAAGTGCCTATGAGTAGATGAGTGGATTAGAAAACTGTGGTACATCTGCACAATGGAATACTATGCTGTTGTAAAAAAGAAAGTACTCTTACCATTTGCAACAGCATGGATGGAACTGGAGAGCATTATGCTAAGCGAAATAAGCCAGTAAGAGAAATCATCTCATTCATATGTGGGATATAATAATCAACATAAACTGAACAAAAATAGATCCAGAGACAAATAGCAGGGGAAGAGGAGGTTTGGGATCAACCAAAGGACTTGTAGGCATACATATTAGCATAACCGATGGACACAGACACTGGGGCAGTGGTGGCATGTCCTCGGGGGTGGGAGTGGCCAGTGGGGTGGTCAATGGGGGCAGGGGGGAAGGAGACATATGTAACACTTTAAACAATAAAAAAGATAAAATGTTCAGCTATTTTATTTGTCCCCATTGAAGAACGTAACTTCTCAGCCCTAGTTGATTTAGCTCAGTGGATAGACCATCACCCTGCAGACCAAAGGGTCCTGGGTTCGATTACTGTCAAAGGCACATACCTTGGTTGCAGGCTCTTCCTCCACCCAGGCCCTGGTCGGGTCTCATGCAGGAGGCAACCAATCGATGTGTTTCTCTCACATCAATATTTGGCTCTGTCTTCCCTCTCCCACTCACTCTAAAAATCAATGGAAAAATATCCTCAAGTGAGGATTTTTAAAAAAGAAGAAGAATGTAGCTTCTCAGAATGTATTTAAGAATAAAATGTATTCTTAAATATTTTTTTAAAAAGTCCTATGTAACCCAAATAAAGTCGAGGCTACTCTGTGGCCCTGTCTCAGCACACTGGTTCATTAAAGAAACATCAGTTCAGCAGCTTAATTTTTCAATTATGTTATTGAAACAGAATTCAAAGTTTTAGCTTAGTTCCTCAAAAAATATCTTTTGTTTTTTGTGGGGGTTTTTTTTCATTGATTTGGGAGAGAGAGAGAGAGAGAGAGAGAGAGAGAGAGAGAAACATTGATCGATTGTTCCACTTATTAATGCATTGATGCTAACAATGGCAAAAATTATGCAAAACTATTTCCTTTCTAGCAGAAAGTACCTTTGAAAACTGGGTTACTTCTTTAATGCACCCTAATCAGAATCAAATCCGCAACCTTGGCATATGGGAACAAGGCTGTAAACAACTGAACTACCCAGCCAGAGCAGAGAATATCTTATTTAGGAAATAAGGAATTATATTATACAGAGTAAAATTTTGTTAAAATGTTTTCTCTCTTTTCTTTTTCTCCCTTGTGTCTGCTTCTATTTGTCTACACACACACACACACACACACACACACACACGCACATGCACACGAGGCCTATGTGGTAACTGCCTAAAAATATACAGGGTTCTTTTCCCCTCGGGTTATGTGGCAGTTGGAGAGGCTGTAAGCATGCATCGTTATTAGTATTGCCTCCCACTTGTGGATTTTCCTCCTTAGCAGCTGGTACTTCTCCTATGGGGATCGCTTCAATAAAATATACTCTGGACATTTTAAAAGTTCAACTACCAAGTGAAGAAACTGTAGAGAAGTAAAAGGAAGTAGCAAGTTCACAGGGCACCACGTCCCTGACGCATTAAGTTCTGGACTCAACAAGCTCTGCCCCAGGTTGACTAGGTCACTCCTGACTAGGTCACTCAAACTCAGAGTAGTCCACCCTAGCCAGTTTCTCAGTGGTTAGAGCACCAGCCCACAAACTGACAGGTTCGATCCCTGGCCCAGGCAGAGCATGTGCGGGAGGCAACCAATCGATGTGTCTCTCACATAGATGTTACTCTCTCTGTCTCTCCCCCTTCCTTCCACTCTCTCTAAAAATCAATGGGGGGAAAAATATCCTCGAGGGAGGATTAAACAAACAAACAAACAAACTCAGAGTAATCAGCCCCTCCTGGCTGACCCAGATCCACCTGTTGATTTTGGATCACCACTGGACCAATACAGCCGCCTGAACTCAAACTTAGTGCGGGGTTCTCTGGGATCCTGCCCAGCACCCAGTCTCAGTTCTTTCCCAGGGTCTTCCAGCAGCTTCCCTGAGCTGCTCCTTCTCTTCTGCTCTCTGGCTTTTAAGCCTTTACAGCTGACCTGCCTCTGGAGAGTTGATGTCTTGGTTGCCGAGGCAGCACTACAGCCTATTTCAATTCATACTTCCAGGTACTTCTTGACTTTTTCTTATAGTTTGCTTCCATAGCTCTAAACTATTTCTAAATATCATGCTGTTCTCCACAAAGAGTGGCCTTCCATCTAAAATATTCCAGAGAGCCCTTGATTAATCCATTCCAAGTAGTACATGGCTAACGTTCCAATCAGCTTAGGATGGCTCCTATCTCATTCAGTCTAGAGCAGTGGTTCTCAACCTTGACTGCACATTAGAATCACCTGGGAATCTTTTTTAAATCCTGATTTCTGGGCCTCAGGAATGATTCTAATGTGCAGCCAAGGTTGAGAACCACTGGTCTAGAGAATGCTCAGAACCACGTTTATTTAGGGTAATTCATTTCACCAGAGCATACTAGAAAAGGAACTAAAACTATAGAGGACTTCATGATTGTTATGAAACTCACCATTGATGAGCTGAAGGGAGCCAGGATCTGGATTCAAAGAGGAGTTGCCCAGCAACAAATTGTGATGCAGTGTCTCAGCAATATAATCTCTGAAGTTACTAATTGTATAAACAGCAGTGGGCTTATCATCCAATTCCACGAGACCATGGTTTTCCACCTTGTTGGAGTGAAGGCTGATTAGGTCCCAGGTGGTATTGCTGATGGCCTCTCCGTTGAAAGTAACTGCATAGTGAACATCTGTGCCACTATGGATGAAAAGAGAGAACAGATGAGGACCTGCTAAGGAAGCACAAAAGAAGGACTATGAACCCAGGAGAACAAGCACTAGACCTAGAGGGAGATTCTCAGAAAGCATGGTTTCCATCACCATTCTGTAGGAGCAAAATGATTCCCAAATCAGAGCATAAAAATAAATTAAGTCCTTCTTCTTAACTTACTTATATATTCTTATATGTTCCTTGATTATAGCCTTTGTTGTTTTGTATAAAGATTTTGTTTACAGTGACTGCCTTTCAGTCTCTTCTTGAGTTTCTATCCCCAATGTTCAGCTTGGTACCTGGGAAAGAGGGGTACCCAGTGCCTACTAAATGAACAGAAATCTATACTCATCCTATATAATAAAAGGCTAATATCCTATCTAATAAAAGAGAAACATGGTAATTAGTGTCACTCCGCTACCCTTCCTATTGGCTAATCAGGGTGATATGCAAATTAACTGCCGGCCAAGATGGCGGTTAACCGCCAACAAAGATGGCGGCTAATTTGCATACTGCAGGCAGGATGGGACAGCGCCATTCTGCTTGCCCCGCCTCCATCCGGGCCTGCTATCAGTGACCTGGATGGCAGGCGACCCCTGTGCGACTCGACCCAGGGCTGGCGGGCGTGACCCTCGTGGTCCGCCAGCTGTCACGCCCCCAACCAGCCCTCCCACTGGGAGATCCAGGGCGACTGCAACCGCCAGCAGTCTCCCCGCCAACCCGGATCTCTCACAGCAGTCGCCCCTCCAGCCCGGATCTCCCGAGGGAGATCCGGCCCTGCTGGGGCGACCGCTACCTGTCAGTCACCAGTCACGCCCCCAATCAGCCCTTAATGTGGTATACAGGGAGATATTAGAATAAGTTTAATCACTTTATCAGTCATTATTTGCATCAGTGTTGTTTTTACATCATGAGTTTTTTGTTATATCATTTTATTATTGTTTATTTATTAATAAAATTATGTATTATTTTCATATACATTGTACTCATTTCCTTTTATCTCTCACACTTTTATTACCCCCTGGTGGTCAGTGCACTCCCACAGGGGGAGCGCTGCTCAGCCAGAAGCTGGGCTCACAGCTGGCAAGCAAAGTGGTGGTGGCGGGAGCCCCTCCTTACGCTGCAGGCGGGCAGTAAGGAGCGAGGGGTCCCGAACTGCAAGAGCCCCAGACTGCGAGAGGGGTCCCGGACTGCAAGAGGATGCAGGCTGGGCTAAGGGATCCCTCCAGTGCACAAATCTCATGCACAGGGCCTCTAGTCTGAATATAAAAAGAGAACTGCATCCTAATAGAGGTATTAACATATCTAAAGAAAAAGTATCAACATAATGACAATGGTCTCATGAAGTCAAGGAAAAAAGGAATTAGTCAATTAACTTGTGTTACTATTGAGTAGAATTCTCACCAGTGTATTGTGGCTTTCTCAGAAGACAGATCCCTAGGCTGCAGACAGCTACAATAGGCTGGCATGGCTTGACGATACTGGCTACTAAAATCACCAACTTCCTTTTCTGGATTTCAAGTTTGCAAAGGAAACTTTTGATTATAACTGCCTACATATGTTCCTATAGAAAAAGAATGCATGAGCCAGCCAATGCAATAATTAGTCAATTGGCAGATATATTTCTCATTTTAAAAACATCAGCTGGCATCCTAGAGAATGCAGTGTGTTTTGTGGTTTGGTAAGCATGAATTGGTCTTAAGAGACCTCTCCTTCGGAGCCCTGGCAGTGCAGGACCTGTCCGCGGCCTGCTTGCTGCAGATCACATCCTGGACTGCAGGGGATGCCATGAAGGTGACATCCTTCCCTGCCATTCAAGCAGCCAGGCCTCTTTGAACTTCTCACTCTGAGTAACTTCAGTGAGGTTTCCTCCCAATAAGCTGCCGCCTCCAATGGGGCAGTTTGGGCACTTTAACACGGTTACTGAGCACTTTGACACCTGATGCTCTAAGTGGTGAGACATCTGCTTGTCATCTAGCATCCTTCAACCACTTCATTTTCCCCATGTCAGAATATGTTGATTCAAAGGTAATTCCTGATCTTTTTTGTAAAGAAATAACTTCAGTAAAATATATTAAAATAACCAAAGGATGGCTCCAAGGTGGAATAAAACAGTAAGAGGGACACCTACTGGTCAGAACTCACTACACCATATGTGTCCCAAGCATCTAGCACAATGCCTGGCTCATAGTAATTCAATAAATATATTTGAAAGTAATGAAAAAAACAAATGGTCAATTGTATTCACTAATATAAGCAAATAAATGATAGTATGTGGTACTCCTGACTTAATCCAAAGGATTTTTGGTCCCTAAATAGAAGTAATTTTTTACCCTAAAGAGCATATGTATCATCTTCATACAAGTGTGTTGTGAGTAATCACCTGGGGGCATTGCTCACAGCCAGAGCACAGCGCTGTGCGAATGTACACACTCTCCCAAGCTCAGTGGAATGGACCATGCCCACATCTCCAGAAAGATGAGCTTCTCTTTGGGGTCTTTGCACAAGATATTTACATGTTATCATGGCTCTAGGACAGGAAAAAGTGACAAGGGGAAAATGGAGAAGATAGTAAAGGCTGAACCAGTTAGCACTTGAGTTGGTTTCTGGGCTATAAGAAAATCAGAGAAGGAGAGGCCAGCCTTTACTAGGAGCCTATGATATGCCTTGCATGACTTATAAATATCATATGGAGAAGATCAAGAGAAATATTCCTGCATCAAGAAATCTATGCAAATCAGGCAGTCTAGGTTAGATTACTAGCCTAACTTTTTATTGGCAAAATTTGTTTCCCAAATGTTTCCCTTGAACATCTAAAAAGAACATTTCTAGCCGAAACCGGTTTGGCTCAGTGGATAGAGCGTCGGCCTGCGGACTTAAAGGTCCCAGGTTCGATTCCGGTCGAGGGCATGTACCTGGGTTGCGGGCACATCCTCAGTTGGGGGATGTGCAGGAGGCAGCTGATCGATGTTTCTCTCTCATCGATGTTTCTGGCTCTCTATCTCTTTCACTTCCTCTCTGTAAAAAATCAATACAATATATATATAAAAAAAGAACATTTCTATTATAATCTACCAGATCTAGTGAGGATAAATTCATTAAAGAAGATAAAATCCTCAGAGGGATGCTACAATTTATTACCATGTTTTTATCCTGGAAAGAGAGCTCAAAGAAAGGCTTGAAATATGAGGAAACCATCTACTCTCAGAGCCAGGAACTTTCCTATGACCCAGAACAGACTGAGTTCCGGCGTGGCGAAGGGAACACAGAGATTTCTCATGATGAGGGACAGACTGAAAGAGAGCCAGAAGCAGTATCTGACTGAAGAAGGCTCGGCTGGCTCTCAGCGCTAACAACTCCAAGGAACCAACCACCATCATCCTTCATCTTCCGACCTAGACTGAATCAGCTGCTTCCAAGAGGAAAGTTTCTCTGTCTGACAGCTATTTCCAGAGATTTGAATCATGTGGAGGTGAAATTTTCCCTTTCTCATTCTCTCACCTCAAATGCCCTTGTTGGCTATTTGACATGTGCAGATTTTAAATAGAAAAAATAATGCAATCACATCTCATTAAGGTCACCAAAATAAAGATTTTTCAGAGAAACTTAGATATCCTTTCTTTTATAAAACTTCTATTAGGAAGAAGATGCACACTTATGAAGGCTGGAGCTGAATATTTGAAGTGTGTACACCAGGCAAATATTTTGTTGATTCACTTCAAATGAGTCCTACCAACTTAAAATAATGTGTGCATCTTGAAAGGGGTACAAAGCAAATAGAAATTTCATGTGCATGTAAATGTTATAATATTTTGTTATGTTATGTTTATAACATGTAACATTTATACATGTTTATAAAGAGATTATATATCATATAAATAGACTTTCTGCACCACATTTTTACTCATACACAGCTCAGAATAAAAGTATACTGAACAGTTACGAATAAATGTCATTAACTACCTAACACTTGACGATTTTGGAAACTGCACTGAAGTTAACAATTTTATCATAAAATCTAATGGCTTCATATTGAATTGTTGTCTGTATCCCTAGAGAGAACTTAGCACTCAGCAACCATTCTTTTGGTCATAGGGTAACATCAGAGTTTGGGTTGTTTTAAATTCTAATCACCCATAATCAGGCTTTTCAGTTGAACACAAATAATCAACAAATGTGCCTATAACAAACACACACACACAGCAGTTTACACATACTCAGTACAGAAACCCACATTCTGATTCCCTTAGGCAAAATATCAGATATATAGTCACGTAACATATGGCAAATCAATTTGCCTCCCTGAGGCAAAATTTCCTCAGCACCAAAATAGAATGAATATTAATTCTCATTTTCACTATCTCACAGGGATACAAGAGAGTTAGATGAAAAAAAATGAAAGAACCAGTACTTTGACATATCTCTAAAAGTGCTTTTCATTAGACTGTGTTCCTTGAGGGTAGAGACCAACAGTCACTAATTTTTGTAGACACAGGGTTTACCTAATTTGTAGGCATGTATTAATACTTTCTAAAATGATATAAATGAAAATGAGCAAGTTAAAATGCCCTCTCCAAATATAAGGTATTAATTACAGTGAAGGAGTATTACTGTATCTCTAAACATGCCCACATTTAGCCCATGAATATACTTCATAAATTCTAGACTATACTTGTCAATCTTCCAAGAGAAAGTGAATGTTCAATAAATATGGAACCCAAAGGCAAAAAATGACAAGCAACCTTCACAAGGGGTATTGACTATGCTTTTTTATTATTACACATGCATCCTCTAAGAAATTCTAGAGAGCAGCTGTTTTTGCAAATGAACTCTTATAGAGATCTGCTTTGTTCCCTTCATTTTCCACTTAAAGTGACACTCAATTATATTATTGGATGCATAGAATACTTGAAAGTATTAAATTAATGCAAGTTTTTATTCCTATTTTAATTTTCTGCTATCAAAGAGCTCACAGTTAGGACATGCTGATTTTAGTTTACTTTTGATGATTATAAGTTATACAGTTGTCCATATGAAAATAATGCCATAATTAATGAATAATAATAATACAAGAATAAACTCTCTTTCACATACAACTATAAACCTACTTTTGCCCCACCCTCTTTTTGTTTTTTAATCCTCACCTGAGGATATTTTCTCTATTGATTTCTAGGGGAATGGAAGGGAGGGAGGAGAGAGAGAGACAGAAAGAGAGAGACATCAATTGGTTGCCTCCCATTTGCACCCCTACTGGGGCTGGGGAACATGCAACCAGAAATCAAACCCAAGACCCTTCAGTCCAAGGGCCAACACTCTAACAAACCAGCCAGGGCGTTCCCTCTATTTAAAAGTACTTGTCAGTATTCAGTCTATAACAGAGGTCTGTAAACTACTGCCTGAAAGCTACATCCAGCCTACTGTCACTGAATTAACGGATCGTATGTTTTTAAATGGTTGAAAAAAATCAAAAGACCAATATTTTGTGACATGTGAAAATTATATGAAATTTATATTTCAGTGTCCATAAATTAAGATATATTAAAACACAGCCACACTTATTTGTTTTCAATATCTCACCAATATCTACTTTCATCTGATATTAGCAGAGATGAGTAGCTGCCAATGGAGACCATATGGCCTAAAAAGTTTTAAATATTTACTATCTAAGCCTTAACAGAAAATTTTTGTCAACCCCTGATCCGTACAGAGATGGACACTGATACTGGAAGTCATAAGAGAATTGAGCTATGCTCCCTTAAACCTAGGTCTACCACATTTTCTAAACTAACTCCTCATTCATTTGAAAGTACAGAAAGTACTAAAAAGTATCTTACCTGCCATTTTCCTCGGGGGACCTGGAAAAAAAAAAGTGTTAAGCACAATTTTAAAATTGTATTTGTCACATCATTCATCACAGTACAAGTTCTTAATATATTTCCTCTGAAAAGTTTCTTCAAGTGAAAATGCTTGCAGAGTATCAGAAGCTGACAAATTTCTGTGGATTGAAGGAAGTGAGCAAAGGCAGAGAAAATGTTCCATTTTAAAAGTCTTTACTATCTTTAAACTTTATTAACTACTTTTAAAAGAGTTCATATAAGGTTATCTCTTTATAAATAAACTTTTTCAGTCGGTCAACAGGGGACTCCAGTAGTTGGCATTAACAAAACTAGGAACACTGCTGGGGAGATGCGATGTGCTGTGTAGCATTGAAATCAATGAAAACCAAATCAGGCAACATACAGTAAGGTGCTAAGAGGCTGGGAAAGGCCAGGACTGACTGACTTACAGGATAGTGCCTTTAACATTTATTGACGTTATGTAACAGACACTATTAAGTTCTACTAAGAATTTCCCATGTGCCGGGAACTATGCTAAGCATTTTGCAAAAGTTATTTCAATTAATCCTCATTAAGATTTATTAAGAATCATTAGTACCCCCATTTTACAGGTCAAGAAACTGAGGGACAAAAAAACCTAAATCATTTAAAGTATTTCAAAAGTATTATTTAATAAAGCAGGATTAATAGGTAAATTGTCTTTTTTATGTAAATGAGAAGTTAAGACTTGGTAATTTACCCAAAACCATCCAGCCAGAAGTGCCAAAGGCAGGGTTTGCACTCAGGAACTTTGACTCCGAACTACGAACTATGTTGCCTTCCCTGTGCTGCCAAGTGAGGGGGTCCCCAAAGGCCCCACATTCTCAGGTTCTCAGGGGAGCTTTAGGCCAGAAGTGCCAAAGGCAGGGTTTGCACTCAGGAACGTTGACTCCGAACTACGTTGCCTTCCCTGTGCTGCCAAGTGGGGGGGTCCCCAAAGGCCCCACATTCTCAGGTTCTCAGGGGAGCTTTAGGCACAGCTGGAGGTGGTATTCTGTGAAAAAGCACTAAGGTTCAAGTGGAGAGACTGGTTGTGGTGTGAGGATAGATGGAAGGTCAATTTATCATGCTTGCCCTCTGCCCTGCACCAATAATAGCTGAGTGTCCTTAGGCAAACTATTTAAATTCCCTGGGCTCTGTTTTACATATCCTGGGCCATAGCAGTGCCCCAGAGGCTCCAACCTTCAAAGTGCTGGATCTGGAATGGAGGTTCAGACAGACACTTTGTTTCAAATTTACAAGCTAATTCACAGATTCTCTGACTCTGGGCTAAAACTTCATCCCTTTAAACCTGTTTGCTGCTCTGTGAAATGAGATTGATACTAATATGCATTCTGAGGTGGGTGGAGATGAAATGGGCTCAGGAGATGAGGTGCCTGATACAAAGTATTCACTCAGTAAACATCACCAGTGTCATGCAGTGGGTCTGAGCGGGAAGAAATGCCTCTAAAGAGGTCTCTGACTCACAACTGTCATGTTTGAAAAGAAGGTGAGTGCAGAGTGGCCTTACACCAAGACACCACTCACCTCAGTGAGACCTGGACAAGCTTTAGTTGGACCTAGAGGTCACATCTAATCTGACATCAGGCTCCCCTCGGTGCCAAATAAAAGCAGTGCAACATGCCGGCAGCAAGCGGGGGACATGACTTCCCAATTCTTACCCTGGCCCCACTACAGATCCAGTATGTCCCTTGAGTACATTATTTTGCCTTTTTGTAACTCAGTTTCCTCACCTGAAATACTAACAATAGGAATATACATTTGCTAGAAATAGCGTTGAATTACAGCATTTGAGTCATTTTAAATTATTGTTGTGTGTATAACATACCCAACAGGATATTCCACTTAAAATAAAGAGTGCATTTTTAGAGTAAGTCTATTTACCTGAAGTCAAGTACACGGATGTCCTTATAGCCCGGCAACCCAGTAAATGCATTTTCAATCTGTTAAAAATAAAGTTTATAAATAGGTAGAAACGTGGGAAAGGATGCAGAAAATAATGCTTTTAGGAGTAGATAAGGTTCTAATGTGCTATAATATTAATTTTTCTTCAAATTGTAAAGGGCATACTTCTCATTGGCAATTACTGTTCTTTCCCCTATGTGATGAAATGTGAAGAAAAAAAAAAACATTAGTTGCCCAAGGAGCTGTAACAGCATTTTTAAATGTAGTGTTTGGATAGGGAGTCTGGCTACAGCACACAGAGTGACAGTCAGGCGTTCATTTCCGAAAAGTGTCTGTTTCTTGTTCCTACAACACAAGGGAACCATGGACACAGTGAACATTAGGAAGAAACCTACAGGTCTGGGCTTACCCCCCCCGGAAGGGAGGCCTTGTTCACGGGTTGCCGCAGAGATGGTGAGGCAGTGGCCAGTAATTAACTGGGCCAAAGATCAATTTATGAGCCTCACATCAGTGGGTACCAGTTTTATTTCTGCGTCTGTAATGTCCCACCATGTAAATCAGTATCTGCTTAGTGACTGGAGCAGGGAAAAGAGAATCCTAGACCGGACTAAACAGCTAAAAATAATCAAGTTATACACAAATACCAAATGTTTCACAAGACTTAACATTTAACCCACCACCTTTCAGAAGATGCAATCTGACCAGGTAAGTCACGACGGAGCTCACACCAGGAGAAGGGAGGGAAGTTGTCAGCGGACTTGGGAACTCTGTTGGTGGATCTCTGATTTTAAAACCAAGTCCTTGCATAATCAGTAGAGTGAATTTTTTTTTAAGTTTTGGTTCAAAATAAAACAAACTCATAGGTACAGAGAACAAATTGATGGTTGCCAGATGGGAAGGGGGTTGGGTGGCTAGGTGAAGAAGGTGAAGGGATTTAAAGTCCAACTTGGTAGTTACAGAATAATCACAGGGATCTACAGCATAGGGAATCTAGTCAATAATACTGCAGTAACTACATATGGTTACTAGACTCATCAAATAATCACTTTGTAAGTTATACAAATGTCTAACCATTATGCTGGGCAGCTGAAATTAATGTAATATTGAATGCCAACTGTAACTGAAAGAAATTAACAAAAAAAACAAACAAATAAATTTTGGTTCACTGAAGATCTTCATGCCTTAAGGATACAGAATCCAAATACATGATAATAATAGTTTGCCTTGTTTTATTCTCTGAGAAGAAAGAGAGTGGTGCTATAATTCTTAGAGGATGGGGTGTGGATGGGATCCCAAGACGAGGAATCTTAGACTGAGGTATAAGTCCCAGCTGCTTTAGCTGGCAAAGTGGTCATGCATGTCTCTTTTATAGAATTAATACTGCCCTGCTCACCAACCACATCAGTTTCTGTAAGATTAAAAGGAATGTAGCTGAAAGTACTCTATTAACTGCAAAATGCTATTTACAATAATTGCATATTTCTATTATTACTAAACCCATCTTTTGGGGGGCTTTGCCATCTCTTGAGTATAAACACATACAGATATTTTAATTAATCATATCCAGTTAATTACTGTACAAGTGTTCAGGTGTAAGAAGTCATTTTACTTGACTAACATCAAGATTAATAATAGTTACAATGTATTGAGTGACTGCTATATGCCTGATTTTGCAATATTACTTCTGATCTTGCAACAATCCCAAGAGGTACATATTTTCCCAATTTTATAGATGAGAAAACTGAGACTCTGAGATGTCAGCTCACTTAGCCAGGGTCATGCATTTGGTGAGTGACTGAATCCGAACTTATTCAGCCCCAAATCTCTCCAACACCAAATCCTATATTCTTCCCATTGAATTGCATGCCTCTTCCTCTTTCCCCTGACTCATAATAAATACGGTTTAGAACCAGGACCAGGACTGGGGAAACTGGGCAGCTCACCACAAGTTCTTACCTGAATTAAAATAAGGGGACTCTGTGTGACATAAAGGGAGGAACGCTTTGAAAGGAAAGAGGAGACCTGATTTCCCCTTCCACTCCAGGGGCTGAAATGACCAGGAACCAGTTACTAGTCCTCCGGGGCCTCATCTATAGATGGATGCTGTTACCCACATGGTTTCTGTGAGCAGTCAGACAGACATCCTGCAGCCTACAGAACTCAAAGCAGTGTGCAAGGACCCTGGGCTGATACTGTAGCGATCTTCAAGCCTGACCCTTCCCTCTAATGTCATATTTGGCATTGTCCCAAGTTTATCTTACTCTTACTCTTCTCATGAAAAAAAACATATATATTATTTTCCCTCAATCCCCCAAGCAGGCTTTTTTTCCCCGTGTGTCTTCCAATATTGGCTAAGAAACGATAGTGAAGGAACAATGCCCGTGGCTGTGCCTGCAGGGAGAGAGTTGGAGGCCTCCTTCAGTTTGTAGTAAACATGGTGACAAGACCTTTCAGAGCCTCACCCCAGACCCCACTAAGATGGCCCAGCGGTAGATGTTTTGTTCCAAGTACAGGGACAGGAATGTAGAGACAGGCCAGAGAAGGAACTGTTGCTCAGCAGGCCCCGGCCTTTTGTTACCTTCAAACCACCTCAAGCCAACAGCTCCCTGCCTCATAAAGTCCCTGCAGGAGATGGTTTTCAGGTGTTTATTAGCCTGTCCTAAATATGCAGCCATTCAGAATATTTGTTTACCCAAACACGGAGGCCTATTAAAGGTGCTTTTACCCAAGGGCAGAGAGACCCAGACAGCCGATCCAAGACACAATCTGACACAAGGTGGCCACTGGCCTGGCTGACATTTCTTCCACATACCGTACAGCCTCCCAACTTGGCCACACAGCTAGGAAAATTAACTGTCTGGCCTACACTCCCCATGTCTGATGGCTGCAATGATGCTGTTTGGCTGAGAGGTGCATATTTTTATTTCTCATCTAGACACAGTGTCTAGGGAAGGAAATTAGTCCGAGGTGATGGAATTGAAAAGTGTGGCCAAGAAGAAACCCATCGAGAGGGAATGGAAAAGAAATAAACAGGAAGGAATGGTGTGCCCCGTAAATGGAGAGAGAGGAGGATGGGCACTTACTACATGAGAGCAAAGGCATGCAGGGGACAAGGTGGGTCATTTTCGACTGAAAGAACCTTGAGTTCAAGTTCCATATAGAATTCTTCCAGGAAGGAAAAGCATGAGATGATCTATTATCTGATTTTTTAAAGAAACCCTTTATTAAAAATACCTACTCCCAAGGAACAGAGGTAGAAGGGACATTAACTGATCACTGGATGCTGTTTGGTCCTTTGAACTTGGTACCATGTCTTCCCAGTTTGAACAGTGTGAACTGTTCAAAATTTTTCAATTTAAAAAAGTAGAACTGAGTATGAAAATTAAAGAAATTAAATATAATGTTTCACAAAGAAAAACAACACATTGTATGTAGTTCCTCAAAGATGCTCATTTTTCACAGGACACATTCTGCCTTGGCTTTGCAGCAAATGTTGGAAATAGCATTTATTTGTTAGATGGCAAATGTGTGAAGATTTTGTTTCAATGAAATAACCCATCTGTCTTTCAGTGAACTTTTCACAGAGCTTTCTGAAGAAATGCTAAGTCATCACCCCCGAACAAAGCAGACGGAGAGCTTGAGTCCAAAAGCTGCCTCTAAGTATTGCTGTGAATATGAGACATTTATCCCAGAAAACTGTCTTGCTTATTTAAAAAATGAATAAAAACAAACAAAAATCACTCACCTCTGCGATAAACTCTTCTACAAGGCTCTGGTGGTGGAAGCTAGCGGGATCCCGGAGTTCTTCCCTGTATTGTTCCCCCAAAAGGTGGATACTGAATTCTGCAATCTGTTCAGCTGCTGGTCTTGTGGATTCTTCTATCACAGTCTCAATTTCATTGCTAATCTGAATGTTTAGGAAAAGAACAATAAGTGTCAATGTTTACTCATTCAATCAACAAAAATGTATTGATTGTCTACTATATACTATGGCCAGATACTATGCCAAAGGCAATTTCTAATGATGCTCTTCTGTATAGTGTTTGAATTTGGAACTGATTGGGTAGACTTTCAGACATAGGTTAATATTAAAATTGCTGTGCATTTGTACATTCCTTTGAACACACAATGATTAGTTCAGGGAAAGATAGAACATATTTCGAAGATAACCACCAAATTTGACCATTTGTGAGTTAAAACAGAGTTTACTGTGCTAAAATTGTCATCTAGAAATAGCTTAGAAGCTTGTTTCTCAAGATTGTTTATATTTTTACAAATTCTTTAATGTCTGGCTTAACGATGACAGCTGGATTCTCAAATCTGTTTCTGCATTAATCAGTTCCAATATTTTGTTTTAGTTTAAGTATATGAAGAAAATCTAGCCGTACAGATAAGTATGCAGAAAGAAGGAATATATTAACAGCCTTTTCAGGTAATTGTGGATTTCTTTCTAAATACTACACCAAGGTCAAGAGTTGGTAGTTTCCTTTTTTTTAATATGTTTTTATTTTTCAGAGAGAGGAAGGGAGAGAAAGAGAGAGAGATAGAAACATCAATGATGAGAGAGAATCATTGATTGGCAGACTCCTGTACGTCCCTTCTGGGGATTGAGCCTGCAACCCGGGCATGTGCCCTTACCAGGAATCAAACCGTGACTTCCTGGTTCATAGGTTGACACTCAACCACAGAACCACACCAGCAGGGAAGAGGTGGTAGTTTCTTAATTGTTAATTGCTATGTGGAATCTGAAATCATATCACCAAACTTTTTGTACTATGTATCATTAGAAGCCAGGTTTTCCAGTGGCCAAGGCTGGAATAATTAGTGTCAAAATGAATACTGAATTATAATCCAAATAATAAAATAAACATTCATGAGTCCAGCCCTAGCCTGTTTGGCTCAGTGGATAGAGTGTTGGACACCTGGACTGAAGGGCCCTGAGTTTGATTCCAGTCAAGGGCACATGCCCAGGTTGCAGGCTCAATCCCCAGTGGGGGTGGGGGGGCAGCATGCAGGAGGTAGCCAATCAATGATTCTCTCTCATCACTGATGTTTCTACCTCTCTTTTCATCTCTGAAATAAATACATATTTTTTAAAAAATTCATGAGTCCATGCTAATGTGATTTAATAAATAAATCTGAGAGAAGTGACAATAGTTTCTTACAAAAGAATTCCAATTAATAAATGCAGAAGGAATGAGGGAACTAGAAATCACTACTAGAACAAACAGTAATAATTGCTTGAGCTCATCTAATCCAAGTCCCTCCATTTGATACACAAGAAAACCAGGGATTGAAATGGAAGAACGGCTAGCCTGTGGGCTCACAGCCAATGGCAGAGTCAGGAAGAGAACACAAGGACTTTATCACTGTGCCATTTCATCTCTGATGGATCACATAATCAGCGACTTTTCAAAACTTTAGAAGATCCCACCATGGCTTCTGATGCTTGAATTCTCTCCATACTATCCCTGACAACAGGCTGTTCATCCTCAATTTAAATGGCTCTGATGAGAAAGAGTCATGACCTTCAAAGGCAGACCATTACATTTCCAAAAGAAGCTCTCATGGTTATAATGTTTTCAATATTAAACCCAAATTTATTTTCCTGTAAGTGTTAACCATTGATCCCAGTTCTGTAACCTGAGACACCTATAAACACTGTGGTCACCAGAGAGCCCTTCAAATAAATACAGGCAGCCATCATGTCTTTCCTGACTTCTCCCTGGTTCCTCTCCTGCAGACACTTCTCAGGCTTGTAGTGTCTTCCTCACAGTGTGGCACACACCAATGAGGTCCAATGACCACTTCTCTTGTGATAGATTCTATATCTGTATTATACAACCCAAAATCACACTAGCTTTTACTAGGTGATTCTCACCCCGTAACTGCATCATACTGCTGATTCATATTGAGAGTAACACCAACACAAACTCTTAGTCTTAAATAGAATTTTGTACAAGACTTTGCATTTTTCCATCTTAAATTTTACCTCACTAGATTTGGGCAGAAACTTCCATTTCCAGTATTATTTTAAAAGAAATATGCTTAGTAACCTTACTGCTACATAATGCCTAAAATGCTGAATAAATATATTTAATGTTTTGAAAGCATAGCTCATTTGCAAGAAAGAAATCCCCAATGGGTCAAAAAAAATTAGAGGAATCCAGGGAGGTGACTGAGTGTTGTTTGTGTACACGGTGTATCTGCTGATCCCTTGAGGCCTTGGCTTTAGTTTTACCTTTTATCACAAAGTGGAAGGTCTGCACATGTTTAAAATCAGACCAAAGACTCTCACATAAAGTAAGGATTCTAAAAGCTCTATAGACAGTTTGAAACAAATTAGACTAAGTTGAAGGGAGAATTAATGAACTGAAAGACATACTTGAAAGCAAAACCAAAAGATGAAGAAATTAAAGTTATTAGAGAAATAAACATGGGAAATAAAATGAGGTCAGACATATCTAATCATAAGGGATAACAACTGAGAATTTCTTTTATAACCACTTTTATGAAACTGCTGAATCCCAAATACTGTATAGTATTTTACATATATGTAGTATATGGGATATACAGAATTAGAGATTTTGCAGTTTTACAAAAATGGATATAGATGTATATTTATGTTTACTTATTTTGCTTTGGATTTGTTGTATTTCCTTATTGTAAGGCTTTATATCTATCATACATTCTGAGAAATTCTCAGCTGTTATCTCTTGTGAGATTATATATATATATATATATAGAGAGAGAGAGAGAGAGAGAGAGAGAGAGAGAAGACAAGGAATATTTTTAAAGGGGGAACTCCTTTCAAAGGATCACAATATCCTGAAACAAGAGAATCCCCATGCAGTTAACTATTATTTGTAGTTCATTGTATATATATTTATACTTGTTTATTGCATCATAAACTACATATAATTCATTTCAATAAGGCATATTTTGCTTTTTAAAATAATCCTATTTGTTGTCTTCATGACTCTCAAGTTAAAGAATACCTTGTGGGGAAGAATAGGAATTGTATTTGCTTGTATGTGCCTTTAAGAAGCCTGGAGCCTGGCTGGTATGGCTCAGTGGTTGAGTGTCGACCTATGAATCAGGAATTCAGGGTTCGATTTCAGGTCAGGGCACATGCCCAGGTTGTGGAGTTGATCCCAGTAGGGGACATGCAGGAAGCAGCAGATCAAAGGTTCTCTCTCATCATTGATGTTTCTATCTCTCCCTTTCCCTTCTTCTCTGAAATCAATATTTTAAAAAATGAAATCTGGAATAATTCACAAGAATATAACAAAAGCAATTGCCTGATAGGGTGTGGGGAAGGGTAGTGTAGAGTGGAAACTGGGAAGATGACAGGGTTAAATATGTGATCAATTATCTCTTATATTTATAATTCTTAGACCCATGTGAATGTAATATCCCTGAAAAAAATAAGCAGAAAAAACAACAAAAGGACTTCCCAAAAAAAAAGTAGACAAAAACAACCTGAATAACAACCGAGCTGATCGGTAAGTTCCCAGTTGTAACAATAAAAGTTAGAAAATAGTGAAATAAACCTTGACCTCAAAAAAATACCTCAATCTAGAATTTAATACAGATTTAAAATATTTTTCTAAAATAAGGGAATAATAAAGATATTTTCAGGTGATCAAAAATTGAGATTGAACCAGTGAGAGACTCTCACTAAAGTAATATCAGGAGCATATATATCAGAAGGAAAGTTAGCCTCAAATAGATGTCTAAAATGCAAAATGCAAAAAAAAAATTTAAGAAAATAAAATGATAAACATCATTTATCAGTGAATATAAATGTAAAATAAACTTTACTATATAAAACAAATATAGTGTAGTCTAAGTTATAGGAGTAAAAAGAGAAAAAACTAAAGTAGAGGGAGGAAAAGAACAAAAATAGAATATAAATCAGTAGGGTGGTCATTTGAGGTACAGTATTCTAATCTTCCCATGTTGCTCAGGATAAGGACAAAGATTTTGAAACATTTAAATTTTGATAGAATAAACATGCATTATAACTTATAGTGCAACTACAAACAAAATAGAAAAAGTATATGATTGCTGAAACGGTAGATGGAAAAATATATTAGGAAAAACTGAAATGCAAAATTGTACCATGGGCTTTACTTTGGACTAATTCTTGTTAGGTATTTCTATAGTGTTTTGTTCTATAAATTGGATTCAAATTACCCTTTCTGTTTGGGATATTAATATTCCAATTGATTATACACAATTCCTTCATTTCTACCATAGTAAATTTTATCTCATTCTATAAAACATTCCAGACCTAAATCATAATTATTCTGATTCAAGTTCAGAACTACAGTATCACTTTTTATTCATTCATTCACAAATATTTCTCAAGTGGTGATATTTTTATCACCATCAACTTTGAACACAGTGGTACTGAAGGTAAAAGTACTGATTTGGGCATCAACTCAGGCATCCCAATCTACTACCAGCCTTGTTCAGTTATAGGGAGGCTGGTGGGGCAGAGTGGGTGATTTATTCTGATTTTATATGTTAAAATGTTGAAGTTTAGGAAGAGAAGATGCAAGGTAACTAAATTGTGCCTTTCTAGTGAATATATTCAGTCAGACTTTGCTACATATTAAGTAATCAAGAATTTATAAACCCCCAAAATTTAAAAATACATATTTAACAACATTTCTAATACAACATGTCCACCTTCCTGGGCAGTGTGTACTTTTTAAAGAATCTGAATATGGTAAAAAAAAATCAACTTAATCTTGTACAGTGGCCAGGTTACTATTAATAATGATGTATGTGAAAAGAATGGTGCTTCTAAATTTTTTTAAAGTATATTTTTCTAAATATATTTTATTGATTTTTTACAGAGAGGAAGGGAGAGGGAGAAATAGAAACATCAATGATGAGAGAGAATCATTGATCAGCTGCCTCCTGCACACCCCACAATGGGATCAAGCCTACAACCTAGGCGTGTGCCCCTGACCGGAATCGAACCTGAGAACCTTCAGTCCGCAGGCTGATACTCTATCCACTGAGCCAAAGCAGCCAGGGCTGCTTCTAGATTTTTTAATGACATAAAATCTATATCCTTTCACTCTGGAGAAGAGGAAGCTAAGTCCTTGACTGATTTAGGGATAGAAGAATATAGGCAAATGTCCCCATAGTAAATTATGTCCTGTAGCCCACAGGAGATGGTGAGTGGGCTTACCACAGACAGTTCCCCAGATCCTGAGCCATCTCATTTACAATTTGAAGCCCTCTCTCGCCAAAAGCAGTTTCACTTGACTCTCCAAGGAATCTTTTTAATGCACTGGTTTTAGAATCCAAAACATTTCCATCAAGGGAACCACAGGAAGTCCTGTGTACTCTGACAATGGCATAATAACCTCCCTTAACCCCTCTTCTCCATGTTATAAACTAAACAAAACAGAGCGTCACTCACACTCTCCTCTGGTCTCCCCAAGCTGCTCTCTGAGGTACCTGCAGAGGAGGTCACCCCTGGATATGGAACTCTGAGGACAGCACCTAATGGAAAAAGAAAAACATGTGCATGAATCCAGTCCCTGACCAAGTCCGAACCCATATCAGGAAATAAGGAACTGACCTCTAAACCATTTCCATAAGTCATTTGCTTTTTCACTTTGGAAATTCTGTGCATTCTAACCTTAAGACACATTTGCATTGAGTCTTCCCAGGACAAGAAACTATTACAATTCATTCATTCATTCAACAAGCATTTACTGAACACCTAGTACATGTCAGGCTCTACACAAGATGCTAAGGATTCAGACAAAGTCCCTGTCCTTGAAAAGCTCTCTAGGAAAGGGGACAGACACTGAAGGAAGTGATACTACCACAGAGAGGGGTGGGTGAAAGTTGGTGACTAAGCATGAATTGATCACTGTTGAAGCTGGGCCTTGTGCTATTCTAATTTTTGTGTATGTTTGAAATTTCCAATAAAGAGAAGCTTTTAAAAAATTAACAAAGAAAGGAACTATCAATTGACAGGAAAGAGAGAGGCCAGAGGAACATGTTAAAGTACATGGCAGAATGCAGCCAGAAAACTCCTTACTCTGGGAAACTCTACAAGACAAATGACAAATTCTCGGCCCAGGAATGTCCTCCCTGTTGCATGAGCAGTGGTTAGAGTGTTTGCCTTACAGTAATTCTTTAGGTTGTACATTTGTTTTAAGCAGTTTTCTGATTTGTATCATACTCAACAACTAAAGGTTTGTAAGTACCCACAACATAATGCCATGAAATAAATGTTTTAATTACTTTTTCTTGAGGCTCTTGAACAACATATATATAGAGAGAGACAGAAACACAGTATTTTTTAAATGGGAGCTGAAAAATGTTTGCTTGCAAGATTGTATTAAACCACAAATAATTTTCAAAGAAAAGCAAGTAAAGGCACAAAAGCATACCTTCCAATGTTGAGGTATCGCCAACAGGGACTAGAGATGACAACTCAGGGCTAGGGGGAAAAAATGTTTGGGGTTAATAAAATGATAGAAATGTGAGGGCTTATGTGGTGCTTTCTTTTCCCAAAAAGGAATTAGCTAGATTTCCTTTTTTAATTTTTAATTGATATTTAGAGAGAGAAACATCAATTGACTGCCTCCTGCACATGTCTGCACATACCTCACACTACCCCGCTGGGGATCAATCCCCTACTGGGGGATTGAACCCACAATCCACACTGGGCAGGGCAGGAATTCATTAGATTTTCAAACAAGGATTCCAAATCAAAGTACTGAATAACAAGTTTTTTAAAAATAATCTTCATGCCCTACTAACCAGTTTGGCTCAGTGCTAGAGCGTCAGCCTGCAGACTCAGGGGTCCCACGTTCGATTCCGGTCAAGGGCATGTACCTTGGTTGCAGGCACATCCCCAGTGGGGTGTGTGCAGGAGGCAGCTGATCGATGTTTCTAACTCTCTATCCCTCTCCCTTCCTCTCTGTAAAAAAATCAATAAAATATATGTTTTTTTAAATAGTCTTCATAATTTATTTATTTTCTATTTATTGATTCCTACTCAATTAGAATCATGCTATACAAAGTACTCACCCACTTATTATATCATCCCTCTTCCATTTTATTTCTTCTCAGTTTTTATCACTATGTGAAATTATTTTGTTCATTTATTATCTACTAGAGGCATGGTGCATGAATTCATGCACTGGTGGGGTCCAGTCAGCCTGCCCTGATGCAGGCAATTGGGGGCAGGTTGGCTGGGGTGAGGGACCATGGGCAGGGCTGGGCAGGACAAAGGGCCCGGGGGCAGTTTGCTGGCCTACCCCACCCCTGATCAGGGTAGGGGTACCCACTTAGGGGTGGGGCCAGGCAGGGCGAGGAGCCGCAGGCATTCTGGTCGTTCTGCCTTTCGGTCAATTGTCATATTACCCTTTTATTATATAGGATTTCTTTATTTCTGTCTCCAATCCCTTAATCTTCTAGGATAGCATTGTCTAATATGGTAGTTACCGGACATATGTGGAATTTAAATTAATTAAAACGGAATAAAGTTTAAAATTCAGTTCCTCATTCACACTAATCACATTTCAAGTGCTCAATAGTCCCATGTGGTTAATGGCTGCACATTGGACAGCACAGTACAGAGCATTTCCATCACCACAGGGAAAGAACTGCCTTACGGATCTAAATTCCTTGAGATCAAGGACTTTACCTGCTATGTTCTTGCTGTATCTCCAGCCTCAATACTATCTGCTATTTAATAGACATTAAATAGATTTTTTAATATATTTTTATTGATTTCAGAGAGGAAAGGAGAGAGAGAGAGAGAGATAAAAATATCAAAGATAAGAGAGAATCATTGATTGGCTGCCTCCTGCAAGCCCCACACTGGGGATCAAGCCCGCAACCCGGACATGTGCCCCAACCGGGAATCGAACCATGACCTTCTGGTTCATAGGTCAATGCTCAACCATTGAGCCACGCCAGCTGGGCTTAAATAGATCTTTTTGAATGAATAAATAAATACTATTGGCAAAACAGTGTAGGAGGCATGTGTCATATAGTTGTTAACAAAACACCCATGGTCTATGAAAGTTACAGTCTTCTAGAGAACAGATACCAAATAAATGATTATAAATACAATTAGTACAGACTGAAAAGTACTAGCTTCTAAAGGGAACATACAAGCACAACTTTCATCTCATTTGAGAGATCGTAGAAATCATAAAATCACTTTCTATAAAGAAAGTCGAGCTTGGAGAAATGGCTGCTGTAGGCCACACTGCTGGTAGGCTTTAGGTCTCCCAGCTGTCCTTCAACCACGCAACTGAAAGCAGAGATCCCCACTCTGAAGGAAAGAAAGTAGGTTTCGCAAGTCCAAATTTATATACTCAAAAAATATAAAAATTAAATTACAGTAATTTGGGGAAGTTTTAGAACTTTAAAGTTTGTGTGCATGTCCTAAGGGAATGGGCTATTTCATTACCCTTTTTCAAAAAAGCTGGATGGTGATAACACCAATTTTCAATTCATAGCAATTTAAAACTCTATTCAACTTTACACAGGTCAGCCTCCTAATGTGATTCAATCACAGTCAAAAATGTTTCCCTCACAGACTTGCCAATATGCCATGAGTCCCATCTTTAGAACAACTCCTTTGAATTGCCCTGCTGCTCCAAATTAGCTTATTGGGGGGAGGGGGCTCAAAGCCACCAGATAAACATGGCACACATCTTCAGGCATCAATTTTACTTGATGCATAGGCAGTTGGAGAGCTAAGTAACAACTGATAAATAATCTAAAATATTTTAGTATTTTTTAAATGTGGCTATAGTATGATTATATAAAGTTTAAATAAATATTAAGATAAAACATGATCATTCAAAGGCATTTCATGCCTGGAACTGGAGTGGGGAGTCAACAAGGGCTATAATCCCTAAACCTTCAGGCTTTAGAAGAAAATCTGAGAAACACAGATTAAAACAAAGCAAAACAACAACAACAAAAAGCATGATTCTTCTGGCTTTTAAAAATGCTATCTAAAAAAATAATATTTTAAACTATTACACCCAACCTTTCACTATCGGTTATTCATCATGCATTTGTAGGACAATGCTTACTAAGTGAGCTGTCATATAGAAGGATTTAAAGCAGTGGTTCTCAATCTTCTGGCCCTTTAAATACAGTTCCTCATGTTGTGACCCAACCATAAAATTATTTTCGTTGCTACTTCATCACTGTAATGTTGCTACTGTTATGAATCGTAATGTAAATATCTGATATGTAGGATGGTCTTAGGCGACCCCTATGAAAGGGTCGTTCGACCACCAAAGGAGTCACGACCCACAGGTTGAGAACCGCTGATCTGAAGGAATATGACATCTGGGTAAGTCATTATGATGTGTGATGAACTGTGTAAGCATCAAGAAGCTTCTTTATTTTTTTTCTTTCTTTTTATTGATTTCAGAGAAAAGATGGGAGAGGGAGAGAGAGATAGAAACATCAATGATGAAAATCATCAGCCTCTTGCTTGCCCCCTACTTGGGATCGAGCCCACAATCCAAGCATGTGCCCAGACTGAGTACTCCTGGTTCATAGGTTGACGTTCAACCACGGAGCCACACTAGTGGGCAAAAGGCTTTTGGCACCCATGTTGGTGTGGTTCAGTTGGTTGGGTGTCATCCTGTGTATTAAAAGGTTGCCGGTTTGATTCCCAGTCAGGGTACATGCCAGGTTGTGGGCTCAATCCCCAGTAGGGGACATGCAGTAGGCAGCCAATTGATGTTTCACTCTAACATTGATGTTTTTCTCTCCCTTTTCTTTCCTCTCTCTCTAAAAATCAATAAAAAAAAATTTTAAAGAGTCTTCTTGGGTTACAGGAGGTAGAGCTAAAAAAAAAAAATGAGATTCAGATGCATTTGAAACAAACGTTAACATAATTAGTTCTGAATAGGGCCTATCAATTGTCCACAAGGCAGAACCCTTCCCATTCCCTCACTTGATACATGAAAAAATGAGGCCCACATGAGTAAAGCCATTTTCCCAGGGTCACCAAATAATGCAATATAACCCAAGGCCACGCCTAAACGTTCTAACTGTATCCAGTTCCCTTTTCAATAATAATAACAGCAAGAATGATCACAACTAAATTTCCTAAGTCCTCATTACAGGTCAAGCACTGTGCTAAGTAGTTTATCTTAGTTAACTCGCAACAATCTTAAGAGGAAGATATTAGTATCCCCATTTATACAGATGAGGAAATTAATGCTAGAAGTGGTTAAGAATTTGCTCAGGTGACAAAGCTGGCCAGGGGAAGAGCTGTAATGTAAAATAGACCCATTTGGTTCCAGAAACCTCACTCTTACCCACCTTAATTCCTTACAACACGGTCTTCACACGGCCCATATTCTCTAGAAGGGCAACCAACATGGTTTCACCTTATCTTAACGTCAGTGGCCTACCTAAACTAAACAACCGAAAATAAATAGATAATAACAAAAATAGATAAACTAAACAACCTAAAAGTCAAAGAGTATACGGCCCCAGAAAAAGGAAAGGAAACCCAGTGAGAGCTGGAGAGCCATAAGCCACCAGGTATAAAGAGCAAAGAGGTCAAAGTAAGGCAAAGCAGCCAAAGCACAGCACAGTAATTAGAACAGACCTCACCTGGAGTTGGTCAAATTGTCCCCAACATCAAAATCAGATTTATGCTAATTCTCTACGTAAACAAGCAGATGGAGAAGTGTGCTTACTTCAGAAAAATTACTGAATTCAAAATAACATTGCTTTAATGATGATAAGTAGACAACTCTCCATAATTGAAATTATCTGCCTAACACTCCAACACTTAATTCCTCCCCCTCCCCCTCTGTTTTCAAAAGACAGTAAAGAACACTTAACAACAAGAACCCTTTCACACATTCTCATTAGGCAGGCCTCCTGAGGAGATCCGCTGAGGTGTCACTCACAACAGAACTAGAACACAGAGTCATGTTGAGTTTGGAGACAGAAATGCTTCATTTCCAAGCCAAACCACAAATTTGAAGTTGTTCAGCTAAGACCTTTAGTTTAATACCAACAGCAAACAACCCCCTGTGGTCTCATTTCCTCAGTTCATCCAGCACATCATTTATTCCTCACTGCTGCTGCCTGATCATGTCAGTGGAATTCAGGTGGGATTGTGTCAGAAAATATCACAGCCACATGGAACAGAAGTGTCAAAATGTAGTGAAACAAGCCAAGCATAAACTCCTGCCTAGATGACTACTCCCCTTGACAGTTTTCTATACTTTGCTTTGTTCTTAAATCTGTTCATTGTGATCAGCATGTGACAACAGAACTCAAGGAAATGAGCCAGAAATCCTGGGTGCTGGTCCCAGATGTATAATTAACTTTGTGTATGACTTGGAAAAATACCTCAGTTGTTCTGAGACTCATCTCCAAAACAGAACCACCTCCCTGCCCTACCTATTTCACAAAGGTATTGATGAAAACTAAATAAAATATCTTGTGCAGAGCATTACAAAAAGTACTAAGTGCTAAACCAATATAGGAGAAAACGGGGGTTACTGTGTCATCCCACACAGAATAAAACATTTGCTTAAAAAAAATGTATATTTGGGGTTTTAAGAAGATGGCGGCGATATAGGCAGACGCGTCCCAGGTCGTGTCCCGGAGCAAATGGAGTGAGCAGCTGAAACTAATAGCACCCACCCCGAGTTGGCGAAAGGGCTCAGCTGGTGAGACGGTTTGCAGCCGGGAAGAGCAGAACTCCCCTGGAAAGATCCAGTAATTCATTTAACAAATATATAATGAGCACATGTCCTAAACTGAGCTTTATACTGGTTATTGAGGATATGGTAAGACCCCATAGCAGGGTTAAGCAGCGACTGGAGCCACGTGGAGCTGCCTTCAAGATGTCTAGTTGAAAGACCTTGTACGCAAATATGCATAACCCATGGACACAGACAATAGGGCGGTGAAGGCCTGGGGGAGGGGAGCAGGCTGGAGGGGGTCAAAGAGGGGAAAAAATGGACATATGTAATACTTTCAATAATAGAGATTTATTTTTTTTAAAGATGTCTGGTTGTAACGGAGACAAGAGCTGGAGGGAAGGCCATTTGTAAAATAGGTCACGTGGCAGAGACTTCAGCATGTTTAAATACTAACGGGGACGAGTTAATAATGGGAAAGTTGAAGACTCGGGAGAAAGAGAGAAACAATGACAGGCAGAGATTTCTAAGAGGTAAGATGGATGTGAAGTCCTGAGTATGGTGGGAAATGCTTTTTTTTTTTTTTTTTTTTAAAAATATGAGGAACAATGTACTAGCTAGGCCCTACCACTCTTTAAATGATAGGAACCAGTTTAGAATATGATACCGTGCCCGACTGCCAGGGCTCAATGGTGGAGCATTGACCTCTGAACCAGGAGGTCATGGTTCGATTCTGATCATAGGGGAGTGCAAGAGGCAGAAGGCAGCCAATCGAAGACTCTCTCTCATCATTGATGTTTCTATCTCTCCTTCTCCCTTCCTCTCTGAAATCAATAAAAATATACATGAAAACCTCAATACTTCTTCAGGTTAAGAGCCATATTTAGTCAGAATTAAGTACTTCTTAGCCATATAAGATCTATAAAATATGCTAACATTTTTATTATCAGGTACAACCATGAAGATTATTGGCACTGGCAGGACGCACCAGACTATTTAGCCCACAGCCTGTTTGTAGCAATGGCAATCACAAGAAGCTCTGAGCTCTGCCTTTTGGCCATGAAGAGTCCACACTCAGGAAACCACATGGTCCACATCTGAGTAGGGGCTCAGTCTCAGGCCCCAGCATAGACTCAGTGATAACATTAGCTGTACGAATAAGTGGGATCACAAAGAGTCCTACTTTCCTCCTCTTTACTCATGTTTGATTTGAAACGTATGTGTACCACACTACTACTCACATGTACACCCCAGCTGTGCTTTCGCCAGGACTCTGCTGTCAAGACTGGATCTCTGGACACTGACTCACCGACGTGGTTTTTCCAATGTCCTTCCCTTTCATTGGAGGCAAACTTCTGGACTCTGACCTGGATTGTATGCCCTAGCGGTGCTTTGCTAAATACTCACCCATACGCTGGCATAATCTAGATATTCTGAGTATGGAGAGAAGTGGAAATCTTTAGCCGTGGTAGGCTCAAAATCTCTCACTTTCCATGACCTATTTTTCCTGCTACTGCTCAGGAGCCAGAAATGACCTTAACCCTAAACCTAAAGACCAATGAAGCCAAGATTCATAACACTAGAGGAGTCATCAAGGTTGTGCTATTCCGATACTTCAAAATCATTATCATCATTCCCCAGTAAAGTGATCCACACCACCACCCATCCTTTAATAAACTATCCACCACTAAGGTGCACCATTTCAGGGCAATTTTACCATTAGCCTGAAAGGCTCAACAACAGTAGGTCATTCCATATTTCATTTCCAGAAATCTATTTTTTCACCCAAGAGACACAACAAGTCTGCCTCCTGGTAAGGTCAGACAGCAAACAGGAGCAGTGGTTGTGGTGGTGGTCTGGGAAGGGGAGTGGCCTCCAATGAGGAAAAGCATTTGGGACTTACCCACAGACCTGGTCATTGCAGGAACTGGCAAGAAAATAGAGAGTGGCCATTAAATTTGGGGTGGGTCTTGGAGTAAGTATGATACTCCTCTGTTGCCAAACATGAACTTGGGGGGTGGGGGGAAGACACTTACCGGCTAACAGTTTCCTTTGTGTACGCCAGTTTCTAAGAAAAACAAAGATGAAAAAGAAAAGCCTAAGTAAGTTAATGACAGTTAATAAGCTGTAAATAAAACCTTTGGCATAGAGAGCCTAATGCCTTAACATTATAGAATCTATGTTATTATTCTCATTGATTAGACAAATAGGTGAAGCAAGGTACTACTGATGCCAAGTTTGTTTGTTACTGAGATCGTCCCTATGTGCAGTCTCTGTTTATGTGCCCAAAAGTTCCTGTGCTCTCCATTCGTGGACAGAAATTAACAGGCTTTACCTGCTGCTCATTCCCAACCCGTCTATAAATCAGAGATTGGTGGAGTTTTACCTTAACCTTCCATGGACTTAGAATCAAAGAATTTTGTGATCTAACATATGTATAGTAACTCTCATCCTAGAACAATATGAACATGTAGATAAAATAATGGTAAATCTGCTTCTCCAGAATTCAAACAAAAAGACAAATTCTATCAATTATAGAATTATGTCTCTATTGCATTCCAAAGCAAATTGTCTCCAAACTTCCTCTAAGTTAGTGGTTTTCCTTTGAGACCAATATGATAAAAAGAACACCAGTAACTGGAAGTCAGAAAACCTAGTTTCAAGTCCCATAGAGGCAAATCTGGTGTTAGACCTCAATTTCCTCATCTGCAAAATGGGGAGACTATTACTCTAACTCTTATAAATTACTCACTGCTCTTCTTACTCTACAGATTCTCCTAGAATAATCTCAGCCACTCTCATGGTTTTAATTACCACCTCAAAGCTGGTGATTCCTTCAGCTATATTTATAACCCTGACCACTCTCCTTATCTTCATACCTACAAATCAAGTAATTCATATTTCACAGATGGCTCAGATCAACACATTTGAGAGTGGACTCATTCTCCCTCCACCAACCATCTACAAAGTTGCTTCCCTGCCTGAGTTCTCGTTCAATCATCCAAGCTAGAAACTGGAAGGCTTCTTGGACCACTGCTTCATCCTCTCCCTTTCTCACCAACCCATGACTTTAATCCAAAAAAAACTAGACATGACTAATCTTGTTTCCCACATGTCTCTCATGCTTCCTTTATCTCAAGGTCGAGTTAGGACCCACGTCCCCTAGGGCCTGGGGCACTGAAGCAGCATCCAACCTCTATTCCATCCTATAGTATATAGAAATATAATGGCCTTTTTTAAAATGGAAAACTGTCAAATCAGCCTCTGTGACTCACCTACTTAAAACCCTTCAATGGTTTCCTATTATCTAGAGAGTTAAATACAAACTTGTAAGTTATCCATTTTTCCAGTCTGATCTCCTATCACTTCTGATATATTGGCCCAAGTCCTTCTCTACAAACACTTGGCCCATGTTGTCCTCTCTGCCTAGAATGTCCATTCCAAATTCCTTCTCATTTAGCTGATTAGTACTTGTTATTTAAGATGCCACCTAGGGAACACATTTTCCCCCTTGGTCTGCATGTTCTACTAAATAATTATTGAAAGTATATTTCCCATGTCTTTAAAACTAAACTTACAAAAATTTAAAAAAAATGTATATTTGCCTTTGTGATCTATGATAGGCATTCTCAACTACAAATGTAAGTAATTGAGATACTCGCCCCCCCCCCCACACACACACACACACACACACACAACAACAACAAAAAATCCCAAAGAACAGTCCTTACACTGAGAGGTCTGATAATGAACTTGGGTGATTGGTAGAATTCAGTAATTCATTTAACAAATATATAATGAGCACATGTCCTAAACTGAGCTTTATACTGGTTATTGAGGATATGGTAAGACCCCATAGCAGGGTTAAGCAGCGACTGGAGCCACGTGGAGCTGCCTTCAAGATGTCTAGTTGAAAGACTTTGTACGCAAATATGCATAACCCATGGACACAGACAATAGGGCGGTGAAGGCCTGGGGGAGGGGAGCAGGCTGGAGGGGGTCAAAGAGGGGAAAAAAT